TGTGTAAATAACTCTGTACCTTTTAATCACAATAGAGAGAGCTTGTATCTATTGCGAACCAGAATAGGAGTATGGTTACCTGTACAGATGGATCGATGATGGCAGGAAAGTTCTCTAGCTAGAGCTCTCCAAGCCATTGCGGAAGGAATATTGAAGAGGTCAAAAAGGTTTATTGGCATGCTAATTGCTGTAATTCTTGGATTAATTGCTATAACAGCAACAGCTGCAGCAGCTGGGGTGGCATTACAGTGATCAGTCCAAACTGCTACTTTTGTTCAAGACTAGCATAAAGATTCAGAACAGTTATAGAATTCTCAACGGAAAATTGATAGTGAAATCAATGAACAATTGGCCGATCTTGAACCATCAGTAGTTTTATTAAGGGATCAAATTGTTAGTTTGCAAAAGCGATTACAGTTAAAGTGTGATTAGAACCATACTGGTTTATGTGTCACCCCTGTACCTTATAATGAAACAGCTTTGCTATCTTCTCTGTCATGATTCAAACCTGCAGCAAAACTAAAAAGGGGGAAATTGTAGCTGGACAAGTGATATGAAGTTAACTAGAAGAGGACGCCCTGCCAGGAAAAGGCGGGGGCCTGCAAGCGGGCCATGTCAGAACAAAGTCTTGCAAGCAAGACTTATTGTTCAGATGCAGAACTTTCCTTGAGGTGATAAATAGTCCATGAGGGCATGGAAAGTTCAAGGGAGGTTAAACTGCTGCAGGTGGAAAGGGTCTTTGTATAACATAGGAAATTAATAGTGTAATGTATAACTTAGCTCTGATGATCTCATAAGCATGCCTGTTAATCATTGTCACTTGCTGTACTCCATTGTTATTTGCTGTAATCCTCAAATAAAGGCCATGAGAGCTTTGGGGGCTTTGCTACTCGCCTGAGCGAGCGGTAGCCCTCTGCTTCTCTAAACTCATCCTGCATGCCAAGCTCATCTCAGCGTCACCGTTCACAAAGAACATCAATACTATTACATGAAAAGAGTGAAACACTGAGGTGCTAGAATTTCTTTGTTGCCACAGCATAATCTGGCCATATTTGACTAATGCAAGGGGAAATAGTCATACTGGAGATATAGTTTTTGGGGGTTTATCAGTATATTGAGACATTCAGGTTCATGAGACTGGATGATACTACAAAAAGAACAAGTTGAGATAGAGAAAAGAAAAGAAAGCTTTGAGCCTAGCAGTTTTAGATCAGTGGATAGAGCATCAGCCTGCGGACCAAAGGGTCCTGGGTTTGATTCCGTTCAAGGGCATGTACCTCAGTTGCAGGCTCCTCCCTGGCCCCCGGCACTGGTCGGGGCTGGTACAGGAGGCAACCAATCGATGTGTTTCTCTCACATTGATATTTCTCTCTGTCTTTCCCTCTCTCTTCCACTCTCTAAAAACCAATGGAAAAATATCCTTGGGTGAGGATTAAAAAAAAAAGAAAGCCCTGAGCCTTGGGCATTTCAATATTAAGAGGTCATGGCGGGAGGGAGGGAAGAAACTATGAAATTAAGGAGTAGCTGCTAGTGAGGTAGCAGGAAAAGCAGGAGAATCCAATGTCCTGGAAGCCAACGGAAGAAAATATTTCAAGTAGGAGGGAATGATCAAATGTGCCATTCTTGTTAATGAGACAAAGTAAGGTTAGACCAGAGAACCGAGCCTTGGGTTTAGCAATGTGGAGGCCATTGGTCACCCTGGCAAGCAGGGCCAATGAAGTGGTGGGGGTAAAAGTCTGACTGACAGGGATCTGGGAGAGAATAGAAGAACTGATGACAGTGAGTATAGTGGCTAAAGAGGTGGTGGGGTCAAGAGCAGGTTTCTGGGAAAGAACTGCATCTTTATATGGTGAACCAGAGGGTAAAGTTGATGATGCAGGAGAAAGAGGGGACAATTTCTGGAGCAATGCTCTTACTTAGGAAAGGGGTGGGGATACATACAGTTCACAAATGGAGAGACAGAGCTTAGATATGCATATAGTTAATCTATGCTGATAGGAAGACAGAGTTCATGGATGCAGAGGCGTGGAGATGAATGGGTATGGTGATGGAAGTTTGTGGAAGATCTCTTATGACTGTGTCACCTTTGACTCATTCATCTTCCTCATTTTCTTTCCCTTACTATTCACATCTATCACTTATCAAGCCCTGCCTAAGATCGATCTATTATCTATCTATCTATCTATCTATCTATCTATCTATCTACCTACCTGTCTATCATCTATCTAACTATCTTTAAGATTTTTTTATTGACTGTTAGAGAGAGAGAGAGGAAAGGAGAGGGAGAGAGAGAGAAACATTGATGTGAGAGTGAAACATTGATCAGCTGCCTCCTGCATGCCCCCTACTGGGGATCAAGCCCACAACCCGGGAATGTGCCCTGACCAGGAATCGAACCAGGAACCTTTCAGTGCATGGGACGATGCCCAACCAAGTGAGCCACACTAGCCAGAGCAAGCCCTGCCTTCAGCTAAATGTTCATTATCCTTTAAGACTCAGTGGCTCAGCTCAAGTGCATGCTTTCTAGCAACATTCCCCGGAACCCCCCTTCCTTCCATAGCTAGGCTGGATACTTTCCCTTTGAGTTTCAATGCCAACCACCCACTTAGCTTTCTATCATTCCACTTAGCTTATCAGCTCATGTGTTTATCTAATGCATCAGACTCTTGAGCCCTTGAGTGCAGCAATCCTGTCTTATTTACCTTTGATTTACAAATGCCCAGCACACTAATTAGTGAAGAGTAGTCATTTAATAATGATGAAGTGAGCTGAAGAGTGCACTTCCCTGGGAGAGAACATTAAAATAGCTTATTCCTGGGGGATGAGGCCCATTCCTATATAATAAAAGGCTAATATGCAAATAGACTGAATGGAAGAACAACCAGAACAACCGAACAACCGGTCACTGTGATGTGCACTGACCACCAGGGGGCATGTGCGGAACATGGAGGGTGTCGGCCACAGTGGAATGATGGAGCAGGTGAGCAGGGGTTCCAGACCAAGGCGGGGCACTGGTCGCTGTCATTGCGGCGAGCCTCTGGTGGTTCCTGAAAATTCTTTGCTGCTGCTGGCGTTGGCCCCACTCCCACCCACTGCTGGCATTGGAGCCGCTGCTCACACCCGCAGCTGGTGCCGGAGTCACTGCTCACACCCGTTGATGGCGCCAGCCCCACTCACACTCACTGCTGGTGCTGGCCCCAATTGCTCTGTGTCATCAGCAGGTGCAAGTGGTCCGGCACCGACAGTGCATGGAGGGGCGGCCAGAGCAGGGCTGTGGGCAGAGAGGGGACAGAGGGCCACAGTGGGAGGGTCAAGGCAGGGGCACAGAGGATGGGTTGAGAGCCACCCCTGTGCCTACCGCAGCCTCACGGACCACAGTTCCTTTCAAGGTGCACGAATTTGTGCACTGGGCCCCTAGTATAAAATAAACAAAGAAAACTGGGCTTTGGTGAGAGGAAGAGTGTGGGATGCCCAGGAGGATCAGTGGCCTGAGTAGGTGTATAGAAGATCAAACTAAACAAGATAGCAGACTAACCAGAGGCTCAGAGGACCTGTGACCGAGGGATTGTAGGAGGGTGATGTAGGAGGGTGAGGAAATAGTGTGGAGTCTTACAGCTGCCGTGGTGAGGTGTGTGTGTGTGTTTGTGTGTGTGTGTCTGTGAGGTGGGGGATATGCTGGCAGAGGCCTTTTGGATCCTCACAGGGAAAGGTCTGATGACAAACCTGAATTGAAGCTCCTGACTCATTATTCTACCCCCACCCACCCTGTGGGATCTCAGAAGTTGTTGTCAGCCGAAGAGGACCCTGAAAGCTGAATGCCCTGACTAAAATGTTGATCTTTTTTTAAAAAAATATATTTTATTGAATTTTTACAGAGAAGAAGGGAGAGAGAGATAGAGTTAGAAACATCGATGAGAGAGAAACATCGATCAGCTGCCTCCTGCACGCCCCCCAGTAGGGATGTGCCGCAACCAAGGTACATGACCTTGACAGGAATCGAACCTGGGACTCTTCAGTCTGCAGGCCGATGCTCTATCCACTGAGCAAACCGGTTCGGCAATGTTGATGTTTTACTCCCAGGATTTTAGGTTCAGTAATGTATCCCAATGGCATCTCTGGACTAGTGTCCAAACATGTACATAAATGGATATTCACTACAATTTTATTTATAACAGCAAAACAATGACAAACATGATCATTTATCTTTTTATATATTTTAAATTTTGTAACAAGCTATGTGACTTCTGTAATCATAAATCAAGAATAAAGTCAGAGAAGCAAGCAAATGAATATAAAATTACTTGAAAAAGCCTTCCTCATAGCATTTTTACTTAATATTTTTAATATTGTTTATAAGAATTTAGTTAGAGATATTTTTGAAATCTCCCTAGTCCCTTATTAGTAAATAGTTTCTTTCCTTGCAAGCTTTTAGTTATTATTGGCCCATAGAAAGAAAAGTCATATGTCACCTCGGGAAGGTAGTTTCTTCAAACTATCTTCAGTAGGAGCTTGGGAAGTGATTTAGAGAGGGAAAGTGAGGGTTAAGAGACTTGCCTACAGCCCGGCTACCATGGCTCAGTGGTTGAGCACCAACCTATGAACCAGGAGGTCATGGTTTAATTCCCCGTCAGGGAAAATGCCCGGGTTATGGACTCGATCCCCAGTGGTGCGAGTGTGGGAGGCAGCTCATCATTGATGTTTCTGTCTCTCCCTCTCCCTTCCTCTCTGAAATCAATAAAAATATATATTTCTTAAAAAAGAGACTGACTACATCTCTGAGAAGAGTCTCAGCTTTCTTACCCATTTATATCTCAGGTGCTAAATTGTAACCTCCCTCAACATGCAGGAACCATGGTTATCCAAATTTGGTTAACTAATACTGAAAATCTAGTGTCACATATATTGGGTGCTCAAAAATATTTATTATTAAATGCATGATTAATTAGCCCTCTTTTCATTTTGAAACTTTGAAAGTAAGTTCAAATTTTAGTAGAATATACTTACAGTTGAAGCAAAGGGTGAAATTTGTCTTTGAAATCAAGTTTCAATGGGCAGCCATATTTTCTCCAACTATATTTTACTCTCTAGAAAAGGAAAAATGCTTTGGTTATTTCCTCTATTAGGCTGATTAATAAAATTATAGTTTTCTTACCAAGTCTGTAGATGGTCGATTCCTCAGAAATGACCTATAAAAAGATATTTTTATTACTTATCTTTTCTCTTTTCAAACTTAAACATTAAGCCATTACTTTGTTTGGGTGGGGAGATATCACAGAAGTCAAGTAGATAAGCATAATTCCAAAATACTACCAAACTATGTGGAGAATAAACAATACACTTCTAAGTAATACATGACTGAAAGAAGAAATCTTAAGAGAAATTTAAAAATACTTCAAACTAAATAAAAATGAAAATGCAACTTTTCAAAATTTGTGAGATGCAGTTAAAGATGCAGTGCCTAGAGGAAAATTTATAGCAATGAATGCATCCTATATAATAAAAGGCTAATATGCAAATCGACCAAATGGCAGAATGACCAGTCACTATGACATGCACTAACCACCAGGGGGCAGATGCTCAACACAGGAGCTGCCCCCTGGTGGTCAGCACGAAGCTGAGCTCATGGCTGGTGAGTGCAGCGGTGGTGGTGGGAGCCTTTCCTGCCTCCATGGCAGTTCTAAGGATGTCCCACTGCTGGCTTAAGCCACAAGTGTGACACCCCCTGAGGGCTCCCAGACTGCGAGAGGGTGCAGGCCAGGCTGAGGGACGCCCCCCCACAAGTGCATGAATTTCGTGCACTGGGTCTCTAGTTTATTATAAAAGATTGATGTTAATAAATACTGACTCTAAATTATTGATACTAAATTAATAAAAACTCAGTGCTTATGGTACAATATTTCTTACTTTTCAATAGTGTAAAAGAAGTCATGCCGCTGACAACCTTTGTAACCAAATCTACAAAAAGAAACATAATGAAACTGTAATATCATTCTTTTTATATACTTGCACAAATATTTAATCATTTAACTCAGTAATTCTAAAACTTGAGAGTATTATAGAGTCATCACTTATTGAATTATAATCTCTGGGGTTGGTGTTTTGCCCTAGTATTTCTATTTTAAAAAATCAGTTAAACAAATATTCCTGAAGATACCAGAATTTGAAATCTATTGATTTATTTCTTCTATTTGATACCTGTGAAAACCTGATAGAAAATCTATCAAAAATGAAGACAAATTTCTGTGGATGGTTTTATTTCTCATACATTTTTTAATTTTTAAAATATATTTTAGGAGAAACCAAGATGGTGGCATAGGTAAACACCAGAGTTTGCTGCCTCGCACAACCACTTCAAAAATACAACTAAAGGACGGAACGGACATCATCCAGAACCACAGGAAGGCTGGCTGAGTGGAAATTCTACAACTAGAAAGAAAGAGAAAAGCATACCGAGACTCAGAGGAGGTGCTGTGCAGAAGTAAAATACTAAGGTACAGAGGCGCACTCGGAGCGGGCTGGTGGCTGAGGGCACGGTTGTCTTTTTTAATCAGGAGGGAGTCTCATGCTCTGAGCTCCAGTTCCAGGCGAGTCTCTGGGGACCTAGATTCATACGGGAGAAGCGGGACTGTCTGGCATCGGTTGGAACTCGAGGGCAGCTTTCTCTCGGAGGTATTGCAGCAATTGCTGGGACACTGAGAAGTGGGCCTCTGAAGGCAAGACTGAGAGCAGCCATAACTGCTCGCTCCGCCTGCCCTGTTGATCCCCTGGGATCCGCCCCGCCCAAGCCTTGCACAGAGGCATTTGCTGGATAGCCTCAGGCAGAGGCTAGATTAGCACCTCACTAGAGCTCCAGGACAGAAGTTCTCCCACTGCAGACACAGCTGATTCTCACAGCCAATTGGCCTGGAGGTCAATCCCTCCCACTGTTACTTACAAAAATCAAGGCTTAACTACAACAAGACTGTGCACAAACCACAAGGGAGAACACCAAGAGTGTCCTCCTCAAGTAATTGGGGAGGCTGAACCACTGTGCCCTAGAGGACACTTAGCACAGAAAACCACTTTCTCAACACAATGAAGCATAAAAAATGCGGAGACAGAGAAACAAGACACAAATGACAGAAATGGAGGAAAGCAAACTGCAGGATATAGAGTTCAAAACCACACTTTTAAGGTTTATCAAGAATTGTCTAGAAGCCGCCGATAAATTTAGTAAGACCCTAGAAAAGACTGGTGAGACCACCGATAAATGTAGTGAGATCCTCAAGTAATCTAGTGAGACCCTCGATGTTGTGATAAAGGACCAACTAGAAATTAAGCATACACTGACTGAAATAAAGAATATTATGCAGACTCCCAACAGCAGACCAGAGGATCACAAGAATCAAGTCAAAGATTTGAAATACGTAGAACCAAAAAACACCCAACAGGAAAAGCAAAATGAAAAAAGAATCCAAAAATACGAAGATAGTGTAAGGAGCCTCTGGGACAGCTTCAAGCATACCAACATCCGAATTATAGGGGTGCCAGAAGATGAGAGAGCAAGATATTGAAAACCTATTTGAAGAAATAATGACAGAAAACTTCCTCCACCTGGTGAAAGAAATAGACTTACAGGTCCAAGAAGTGCAGAGAACCCCAAACAAAAGGAATCCAAAGAGGACCACACCAAGACACATCATAATTAAATGCCAATAGTAAAAGACAAAGAGAGCATCTAAAAAGCAGCAAGAGAAAGAGTCAATTACCTACAAGGGAGTACCCATACGACTGTCAGCTGATTTCTCAACAGAAACTTTGCAGGCCAGAAGGAATTGGCAAGAAATATTCAAAGTGATGAATACCAAGAACCTACAACCAAGATTACTTTATCCAGCAAAGCTATCATTCAGAATTGAAGGTCAGATAAAGAGCTTCACAGATAAGAAAAAGGTAAAGGAGTTCATCACCATTAAACCAGTATTATATGAAATGCTGAAAGGTATCCTTTAAGAAGAGGAAGAAGAAGAAAAAGGTAAAGATACAAATTATGAACAACAAATACACATCCATCAACAAGTGAATCTAAAAATCAAGTGAATAAATAATCTGATGATCAGAATAAACTGGTGATTATAATGGAATCAGGGACATAGAAAGGGAGTGGACTGACTATTCTTAGGGGCGAAAGGGGTGTGGGGGGTGCAGGAAGAGACTGGACAAAAATCGTGCACCTATGAATGAGGACATTGGTGGGGGGGGTGTGGGCGGAGGGTGGGAGGGGAACCGGGTGGAGGGGAGCAATGGGGGGAAAAAAGAGGAACAACTGTAATAATCTGAACAATAAAGATTTAATTTAAAAAACAAACAAACAAACAAAACAAAATCCAGTGGGTACCACTTCGAACCACAGTCAGATCAATGGAAGTCATAGCTCTGGAGGGAACACTGGCTTCTGCTAGATTTGCTCTAAAATTTTCCCATAAAAGATGATGTGGATGTAAGCCATTCTCTATGGACATGAAATTATTATTGGGGTAAAGACAGAGGCAAGTGCTTCTCCCTCTGGTTTCTGGGGAACGAGCTGTAGACTGAAGAGTTGAGAGGTAAAGGTGCAAGATGGTAATTGGCTTATTAAAGGGGAAGGTGGAGAAAAATGCTGGTGATAAGAGGTTACTTCTTTTTCCCTTTTAGTAATGATCAAATGAAATACACACACACACACACACACACACACACACACACACATATATATATATATATATATATATATATATATATATAGGAGAGAGAAAGAGAGAGAGAGAGAGAGAGAGAGAGAGAGAGAGAGAGAGAGAGAGAGAGAGAATGGAAGGGAGAGGGAGAGACAGAGAGAAACATCAATGTGATACAGACACATAGATTGGTTGCCTTCCGCATGGGCATGACCAGGACCAGAGATCGATCCTGCAACCAAGGAAAGTGCCCTTGACTGTAATTGACCCGGGATCCTTCAAAACACAGGCTGATGCTCTATCCACTGAGCTGTACCGGCTAGGGCTCAAATGTAATACTTGATTTGGCAAAGAGTTCAAACAAATTTGGTTTGGACACTTGTCAATTCAATTTTGGATTACACTATGGACATGTCAGTCATTAGCCTAAATTATCACTTGTTTACCACTTGTTTTTAAAACATAAAGAGTAAGACAGGTCTAATGTAAATATACTTGCCCTTTAACCACAATAAATTTAGTGCGATCACAGCCAACAGCTATTTGGAACACCTAAAATGAAGCAATTTAGTTGGTAAGTTCAGTGGTTCTGACCCACACATTTCTATAGCTAAAAGCAATTCCATTTCAAATTAGAAACAATAACCTTTTAAGTGTATTTCCTACTTCTTCTTTGATCACTTTTTAAAAATACATATATTTTTATTGATTTCAGAGAGGAAGGGAGAGGGGAAGAGAGAGATAGAAACATCAATGATGAGAGAAAATCATTGATCGGCTGCCTCCTGCAATGCCCCCTACTGGGGATGGAGCCTGCAACCTGGGCATGTGCCCTGACAGGGAATCGAACTGTGACCTCCTGGTTCATAGGTCGAAGCTCAATCATTGAACCACACTGGCCTGGCTATGCATTATTTTTTAAAATTCATTTTTCAATTGCACTTGATATACAATACTATATTAGTTTCAGGTGTACAACATAGTGATTAGATATTTATACACCTTATGTTGTCCCCCAATAAGTTCTAGTACCCATCTCACATCATACATTGTTATTACAATATTATTGACTATATTCCCTATGCTGTACTTTATTTTTTTTAATATATATTTTATTGGTTTTTTACAGAAAGGAAGGGAGAGGGATAGAGAGTTAGAAACATCGATGAGAGAGAAACATCGATCAGCTGTCTCCTGCACACCTCCTACTGGGGATGTGCCCACAACCAAGATACATGCCCTTCATTGGAATCGAACCTGGGACCTTTTGTCCGCAGGCTGACGCTCTATCCACTGAGTCAAACCAGTTAGGACTCTATAACTGGAAACTTGTATCTATGCACTATTGAAATAAGCTTTTTTAAACCTTTTACCTGTGTCACTTACCTTTGGGGGTATTGGACATGCTTTTGAATATTCACTAGGCCTGACCTGCATAAGCATAAGACCCGTGTTCTGGTATCTAGGAGAAACAACACATACCGGTGAGTATAGACTCACAGGGAGGTAGACATTGCAGGAAGCCACCCACTGTCTTCACTATCAGAGAAGTGTAAACACAGGTCCCAGAACGCTGGTGAACCTTGAGCCCCTGGCAAGAGCCAGAGCTATGCACCGATTGTCTAGTCCAGACAATGGGGGCTCAAGCTATTTCCTGACCAAATAGTCTGAGAGTACATCTTTCTAATATTTACTGCCCTTTAAGATAGTCTGTCTGTTACCACAATTACCTGCCTAAGAACTAGATGTGTATCCAACAGTGAGTAAAAGGCTGGCGAGGCCGGGCACCGGTAGAAGTCCTTTCCCTTGCAGTGGGCTTTCCGCCTGGCCCCCAATATTTCCAAATTATTATTTCTTGTCTTGTCTCTTTTATTTGCATGTGGCCCCTTCTCCAGATCCCGAACCCTGCACCACGTGGGACGTGGGTCTTCACAGACATAACCCTGCTTCTCTGTAGAGCAGATGACAGCCCCATGTACCTGCTGTGGCTGACCCCTCCTGAGAAATGCTGGAGGTCTGAGGGGTGGGGTGACTACCTGTGCCCTGCTTGTGCTGAGGGCATCGCCATCAGACCTGAAAGTCACTCCCACCTCATGCTATTCCTTCTGGCCAGCATAGGGTTGACACAATGGGAACAGAAATGAGCATCTGTCAGCATTTCAACCCCCCTAATTCACTAACACCCTCAGTGCCTGGAGGGCGGAGGTCTGCTGCTTCCTGACCCTATTACAGGTTGCAGCCACCACAGTGGTTCCTTCTCGAGCCTTTACAGATGTTCCCTCCTATTGATGACACCTCTGGAGCAATGAAGACTAAGTTATGAAATTAGTTTCCTGAACAACATTATGCTGCACAATATGATCTGACTGGAATGGAAAGTGAGATCAGACACAATGCCTTTCTACCTTATGAAATGCTCGTAAGTCATTTGTGCTCGGGCAAAACAGGACTCAAAATCACAGGAGAAATTTAGAAGGCTTTACTCAACTGCCACCCCGCCCCCTTTACCCCTGCCCTGCCTCTGCTAAGGTTATTACTTTTGGAAAGAACTGAGGGAAAACAAATACAAACTAACTAACCGTAAGGAAATGTTGTTTTTCTTCCAATATTTATTCCATTTTTTAAAAAAATATATACTTTATTGATTTTTTACAGAGAGGAAGGGAGAGGGATAGGGAGTTAGAAACATCGATGAGAGAGAAACATCGATCAGCTGCCTCCTGCACACTCTCCACTGGGGATGTGCCCACAACCAAGGTACATGCCCTTGACTGGAATCGAACCCGGGACCCTTGAATCTGCAGGCCGACGCTCTATCCACTGAGCCAAACCAGTCAGGGCTATTTATTACATTTTAATATTTGTTTAGTTCTATAATTGATATAAAATATAGTAAGTGCCTCTTTCTCTCCCAATTTTTTTTTAGGAGGCAACCAAAATTTTTGGTGGCCTAAAATAAAGAAATAAAATAAATAAATAAATAAATAAATAAATAAATAAATAAAATGTAGTAAGTAAATGAGGATACAAATAGCTCGTTTTCATATTTTTAAATCAGTGTACTATATTTCACCAATTCTAATATTCATATTTTCCTCATTTAACACTTTTTAAATCAGGAAGCATCTTATAATTAAATATAACTATGCCAATTATGGCCTTTTTTTCAATTGGAGGGCATCTTTGATTTGATAAGTTTAGCATATAGTATAGATCTGTAAAGGACACTAAAGTAAATATATTATCTTCAATTTCCCCCAGTTTTTCTTATGGGCACAATTTTTTCCTATCATGGTTGATTTCAAAGCTTTTAGTGTTTTTTTTCTCAAGTCTCAGTATCCTGGATAGTTTGATATGTATTCTACAGCAACAGAATTCTAAGTAAATATCCACCTAACCCAAAAGAACCAAACAGTCTAACCCACGACATTAGAAGAATGAGAAATGGTGGTGGGTGAGGGGAAAGGGATGGCTATCATGTCTAGAGTAGCCATTTCCTCCCTATCCTTCCTGGACACACTCCACCACTTCTTTGTTTTATTTTCTCAGTAGTACTTATAACTATTTGGCATTATCTTATTTACTTATTTGAGCACTTCTTCCACTAGGGATCTGTCCATGACAGCAGTGCTTCCTTCTTCTTGTTCATTAGGTATTTTACACACCTAAAACATGCCTGGCATTGAGTGAACTTCTTCCCAGAAAAACAATGCTATTTTTTGAGAAAATATTTTGAGTCAGGACAATGATCTATACTAATAAAAGGGTAATATGCTAATTAGACCAGACATCCTTCCGGACAAAGCCATGGTGCCGGGGGCCAAGGCAGAGGCGGTTAGAGGCGATCAGGCTGGCAGAGGAGAGCAGTTAGGGGTGACCAGACCGGCAGGGGAGAGTGGTTAGGAGTGACCAGGCCAGCAGGCAGAGTGGTTAGGAGTGATCAGGCAGGCAGGCAGGTGAGTGGTTAGGAGCCAGCGGTCCTGAATTGTGAGAGAGATGTCTGACTGCCAGTTTAAGACACCCCCCGAGGGGTCCCGGATTGGAGAGGGTGCAGGCCAGGCTGAGGGACCCCCCGCCCCTTGTGCAGGAATTTTGTGCACCAGGCCTCTAGTAAACATATAAATGCCTTAAGACACAATTCCAAGTTGGTTGTCTTCCTCCAGAAATTAAGTGCTTAGGTGCTACCTTATTCCAGGAGTCAAAGATGGGTTTTTATCTCATTCTACTCCTGTTGAAGACTTTTGGGAACATTAGCATTCTAGTTTTTGCTTAAGGATAGTATGTAAAGACTTTGGAATGGGAATGAAGGGTAAACATGCTTGAAAAGTACTGAATCAAGAAATAGCACCCCCTTTTTTTTTGCATCTTCAATTGGATGCAACCTTCCAATAAGTCATTGTTTCCCTTTAGCCACAAGGAATCTTCTACATTTTTACACACAATACCGATTTCACATCTATCCAGACTTTAAGGAATTTCCAATCTGGATATTTAAAAGGATATGAGGACATTTAAATAAAAGGATAGCCACAAATCCAGAAGCCCAATAGCGTATTTAGCATGAGTAGGTTCTTCTAAAAGTCATACTCACTGCTTCTTGAAGTAATCACCCACTGCCTGATAATTTGCAGTCTGAAAAAATGTCATGAGCTGAAAAAGAAAGTAAAAAAGTTTTTGTAAAGCAGGAAAATTGGGGATGGGGAAAATGGATACTTTCAAGACAGATTTAAATCTTTCTTTAGGTGGGAAAAATAATACATTTAGCGTTCTTAAATTTTTCTTTACTATCTTAGAAACTCCAGCTATGTACACATTAGATTCACTGTTACATTTTCCTTTTAATTTTATGTTAACATAGCCTTTTTATTTCTATTGCTTCTCTCTCCCTCTTCATTTGACTTTTGTCATTACAATCTTAGTTTTATTTATATCGTGAGCATAGACTTTTCACTTTTCTGTTTTTTGCTAACCTTGTTTCTGGACCATTTTATTTTTTCCCTGATGGTTTTAAGTGATTACAGATATCATCTTGTCTGTAATTTCTGAGACTCTGAGGAATTATTTGCCTGAACCTTTCCTCTGTAGTTTTTGAGTCATTTAAAAGAAATGTCCATTTGCTATTTGCATAAGTTCTTGCTATTTGATTCCATGTTTCATCTTAATTTTCAGTATTTCAAAAGGTTGCTATATTCTAAGGTACAGTCATTTATAGAACATATATGATATTAGAGGAAGAAAATGATAAGCCTCACATTTTTAAAGTATGGTAATTACATCCCTAGATCCTTAAACTTTTTTTTCTTATACTTTTATATGTATTTATATATAAACACACACACACACACACACACACACACACACACAGTAGTTTCTTTCCTTGAACATGGAACTTGATTTATTTTTCATGTAATGACTTTCACAACCTTCAACTTTATCACAAAAGATTTTAGATTTGCCTTAACCGGTTTGGCTCAGTGGATAGAGCGTTGACCTGCGGACTCAAAGGTCCCAGGTTCGATTCTGCTCAATGGCATGTACCTGGGTTGTGGGCACAGCCCCAGTAGAGGGTGTGCAGGAGGCAGCTGATCAATGTATCTCTCTCATCCATGTTTCTAACTCTCTATCCCGCTCCTTTCCTCTCTGTAAAAAATCAATAAAATATATATTTAAAATAACATGTATGTTTCTCAACATGTTCCAAGCTAAACCTAGAAGGGAAGTCTGTTTCAAAGAATATTAACATTATGCTTTTACATTTACTAAAATCAAAGGACATTTTAAAATAAAAACTTACCAGGGTTTTAGTGCAGAATCCTGAAGCAATTTCATAGTTAATACTGTATTTCTCTTTTAATAGTTTTGGGCCATAAGGTTCCACAATAATATACAAACCATTATTTTCTGGGTAGACTATTTGAGCCCAACCTGACAGGTTCTCTCCTTTGTCCAAGATGTAAAAAACATGATAAATATTAGTATGAAATGTCACAAAGGGACATTTTTCTTTTGTTTTGAAAGTTATACTTTGTACTTCCAGACTTGTGGGATATTCCTGTACATATAGTGTGCCATTTCCCAAAACATGTACAAAATTTATTTCATTAAATAAATTCCAGAAAAATGCTGATTTTGTTAAAGTGTTTGTCCATAAAGGTAGCTTCACTGCATCTCTAATATTAATCTTGGAATGAAACAAGATATTATTTTCCATTTTTACCAAGATATTTCCATAGTAATCTGGAAAAAAAGAGAGAGAAGTTTATTATTCTAAGTAACCATAAATCCATGCTCTTTTATTTAAGTGGACTTTTAACCAAAATAATCTTGTTTATAATGACTGAGTATTTATGTACTTTGAGAAAATTAGGGTGTGCAGGCACAAACCTGCAACATCACACAATAACTTCTCTTCCACTTCACAGTACAGTAGGTTTTTCCTGAACACTTTTCTGCTTGCATTCACTATTATCACATATATATCACATCATTTATAGAGAAAAAAGAGCTTACTAATGTGTATTAAATAATGAGAATGAGCAGGACAAGAATGGCATTATTAGGAAGCATTGTATTATAGACTAAATTATGTCCCCCTCTCAAATGCACAGGTTGAAGTCTTAACTCCCATTGTGACTGTATTTGGAGATGAGTCTTTAAGGAACCGGGCAGAAACACACACACACAAAAAGAGTCTTTAAGGAGGTTATTTAGATTAAATGATAAGGGTGGGGCTCTACTCCTATATGACTGGTGTCCTCATAAGAGAAGGAAAGGCACCAGATGTCTCTCTCCCTCTCCCCCAGCTCTTTCCCCGCATGCACACAGAGGAAAGGCCATATGAGGACACAGTGGGAAGGTGGCTGCCGTCTCCAATCCAGGAAGAGAGTCCTCATCAGAAACCACCTTGATGACACCTTGATCTTGGACTTCTAGCCTCCAGAAGCATGAGAAAATAGATTTCTATTGTTTAAGCCACCTACTCTGTGGTATTTGGGTATGTCAGTCCTAGCAGAATATAATAGGGATGGAGAATGGGGGTGGGAATCGAACCTGGGATCCCTCAGTCCACAGGCCAACTGCTCTATCTACTGAGCCAAACCGGCCTCGGCTACAACATTCTTTGTGGGCCACATTTCTAGGGGTATACTTTCCTTAATTTCCATAAAACAACACCCAGAGAGGACTGGCTGAAAGGAGGAAGGTGAAGTCAGAGCCAGGGAGGTTCAGAGTGTATTGTGCTTCTGCATCTTACATTTGGAAACTGAATAAAAATGATCTTTTCACAAATTTCCATAAACTACATTCTAATTAAACTACTAAATCAGCAATGCCAATGTTTTAAAAGATCAGAATACTTGAACATCAATGTCAACATACATTTCCTTATGAAGTTAAGCCCCCATATAGTTATTATGTTCTCAGTAGGAATTTAAAAGTATAATAACGTTCCTGAAATCGTTACGTAGACAGGTGAGGTTAATATGAAGCCTGGAATATATTTCAGTGTTTTAGTGAAGCTGCAAGGATAAAATGCTCTCAATGCCAAGGCAACAACACAGGAATCAAACACCAGTGTTTTCATGGTTCTGCCAGTGCGTGTGGCGGGTGGTCAAAGCTGTGGTGCCAAAGTGATTGGGGCAATACCGTGACTACGTAACTTTTCTCAGATAACTGAGATTTCTTTATACATTTAATTTTGTTTTGTTTGCTTTTGGCAAAAAAATCCATCCAGATTCTTGGCCTCCTGTGCTTTGTGTATGTTTCTGGAAACTTCACAAGGTGGAAGGGGAGAAAGATGTGGGTGATGACATAACAAAATATATCTCTGTTGAATGAAAAAGGTAATTGCAGGACTCACAAACTGATGATATATAAAATATAAAAATCTCAAAAAAATTTTTTTGCTCTTATATAATAGTCATGGGGAGGTAAAGTACAGCGTAGGGAATACAGTCAATAATACTGTAATAACTATGTATGGAGCCAGATGGGTACTAGACTTGTGGTGGTCACTTTGTAAGATACAGATGTCTATCACTATGTTGTATACCTCAAGCTAATATTGTATGCCAAGAATAATTGAAAAAGGTTATGTGTACACTATACTGTAGTTTAGTAGGTATGCAGTAATATTATGTCTAAAAAATATACATACTTTAATTCAAAAATAATTTATTGCTAAAAAATGCCAATCATCATCTGAACCTTCACAAGTTGTGACTTTTTGCTGGGAGAGGTTCTTTCTTTCAATTTTTTAAAAATGCAGTATCTGTGAAGTCTATAAAGAGAAGCACAATAAAACAAGGTACACCTGTACTATGAAGAGGTTTACCCCCTGTCCAGTATTATCCTAAGCATGTTGTATACAATCCCTTCCTTACCTAATTATAATAGCAGTCCTATATTCTAGATCAGAAAACTGAGGCCTGGAAAGTTTAAATGACTTGTTCAGGGCTTCAAACACAGGTCCATTCAACTCTACCTGTTCTACATTGACTTTTGTCCCCCCCCCACCCCCCCCCGCCAAAAAAAAAAAGACAAGGTCCAACTCTCACTACGACTTCAGAATGTGCCCTTTTTTTGGACATAGGGTCATTACAGCTGTGCTTGGTTAAGACAAGGCCATACTGGAGTAGGGGGGTCCTGTTGTCCTTAAAACAAGATGGCATGTGATGACAAAGGTAGAGATTGGGAATGCCAGACTTCTAGCCTCCAGAGCTAGGAGACAGTACGTTTCTGTTGTATTAAACCACCCAGTTTGTGTAGTTTGTTACAGGAGCCCTAGGAAAAGAATAAAACCGTATCACCTCCTACACTGAAAATGCACATGAAAGTTGCTTATTTTGTATCTGCTGATGGACCAAAACGAACCTCTGAAAAAAAGAACGTGAGTTTGCCATTTTGCTATGTAAGATCATAGCTAATGTTAGTAGAATCTGATACCCATTTTTAGGTGGTAAGAAGTGCACCTTTACCTATCAATATTTAACGTGCATTTAGATTTGCTACAACTTCATAAGAAAGTCATCTATTATGAAATCAAGACTATTTTTTGCACAATGAGAATGGCTCACCTATAAAAGTGCTATGAATAATACTGTCATGTGATAATTTTGACAGATTCCCAAATTCTGTAGGTGTCTGTAAAACTCCAGTTGTCGTGAAATCGTCATAAAAATAGTAGATCCTGTGTTTGTCCCATACTATTAATTCTGGTATTGCTGAATACAGAAAATATGGAGTTATAACACTGTCAATCGTGACGTTTAATGAAAAGTCTTTGTGCACCCACTGTTCTGAATCTTCATTATATATCACTAGGTGAATTTTTTTCATGACATTACATGTAATACAGATATTTAACAACAAGCCAAGTTCCAAAGGGTGTGCTGTATACTCAATATTATGTATAGTCAGAGTAGCAGTCGGGATTATATGTAGGATTTCCCCCAGTCTTTTAGTATCTATTATTTTGACAAATTTAAGATGAGCATATCCAAGATAAAATTCATTTTTTGTCCAGATTGCCATGCTGCTTCTTTTATTAGCCTGGAAAGTGGAAAATAGAAAATAATTAGAATATCTTCAATTTTAGGGCTACTTCTAATAATTCCTGTCTTCTAACTTGCTATATTTAAAAGTAAAACATAGCTCTGACCGGTTTGGCTCAGTGGATAGAGCGTCGGCCTGCGGACTCAGGGGTCCCGGGTTTGATTCTGGTCAGGGGCGTGTGCCTTGATAGCGGGAACATGCTCAGTGGGGAGTGTGCAGGAGGCAGCTGATCCGTGTTTCTCTCTCGTTGATGTTTCTGACTCTCTGCCCCTCTCCCTTTCTCTCTGTAAAGAATCAATAAAATATATTTAAAAAATAATAATAAAAGTAAAACATAGTAACTAGAATGATTTATTTTTAAGTATATTTCTGAAAAATACTTCAAGCACAGAAATACATGGCATAGAAATAAGTCATCCTATCTAATAATAGACAAACATGGTAATTAACCATACCTCCGCTACACTTCCCATTGGCTAATCAGGGTGATATGCAAATTAACTGCCAACCAAGATGGCAGCAGGCAGCCTCGTAGCTGAAGCGAACAGGAGGCTTGCTTGCTCCAGTGATGGAGGAAGCCAAGCTTCCCCGCCTGCCGCAGCCGGGCTCTGAGCTCCAGTCTGAGCAACAATGTTGCAATTATAGAAGCTAAACAAACCCAGATACCTGCTTTCAGCCAGCCGGCCTCGGAGCTGGAACCACAATAAAGTTTCAATTACAGAAGGTAAATAAATCCCAGAATAAAAAAAGAAAAAGAAAAAAGGAGAGACTGGGAGCTTCAGTTGCAGGCTTGGCCTGCCTGAATACAGCCCTCAGCCCCTCATCCAGGCTGGCCAGGCACCCCAGTGGGGACCCCCACCCTGAAGGGGGTGCAGGCAGCCTGAAAACAGCCATCAGCCCCTCATCCAGGCTGGCCAGGCACCCCAGTGGGGACTCCCACCCTAAAGGGGGTGTGGGCAGCCTGAAAACAGCCATCAGCCCCTCATCCAGGCTGGCCAGGCACCCCTGTGGGGACGCCCATCCTAAAAGGGGTGCGGGCAGCCTGAAAACAGCCATCAGCCCCTCATCCAGGCTGGCCAGGCACCCAAGCGGGACCCCCACCCTGATCCGGGACACCATTCAGGGCAAACCAGCCGGCCCCCACCCGTGCACCAGGCCTCTATCCTATATAGTAAAAGGGTAATATGCAAACTGACCCTAACAGCAGAAAGACTGGGAATGACTGGTCACTATGACACACACTGACCACCAGGGGGCAGACGCTCAATGCAGGATCTGCCCTCTGGTCGTCAGTGTGCTCCTATTTGGGGGAGCTCTGCTCAGCCACAAGCCAGGCTGATGGCTGCCAGTACAGCAGTGGTGGTGGGAGCCTCTCCTGCCTCCTCGGCAGCGCTAAGGATGTCCGACTACAGCTTGGGTCTGCTCCTCACTGGCAAGTGGACATCCCCTGAGGGCTGCCAGAGGGATGTCTGATTGCCATCTTAGGCCCAATCCCCCGGGGAGCAGGCCTCAGCCAGCAGGTGGTCATCCCCTGAGGAGTCCCAGACTGAGAGAGGGCACAGGCCGGGCTGAGGGATTCCCCCCCCCCCCCCGAGGGTACAAATTTTTGGGCACCAGGCCTCTAGCATTACAATAAAAAGAAATTATCTTGCCCTAGCCGGTTTTGCTCAGTGGGTAGAGCATCGACCTGCGGACCAAAGGGTCCCAGGTTCGATTCCAGTCAAGGGCACATGCCCGGGTTGCAGGCTCGGTCCCCACTGGGGAGCGTGTAGGAGGCAGCTGATCAATGATTCTCTCTCATCATTGATGTTTCTATCTCTCTCTCCCTCTTCCATCCTCTCTGAAATTAATAAAAAAATATTTTAAAAAATTATTCCAGTAATTTTAGTTTTTATCAATAGAAATAATTAATCTTAATTCCCTTTTAATTCCTCAAAGACTATCGATCTTCTCTTTTCCTATGTATATATTTACTCTGGTCAAGAGTAGCCCTGTGATCTTCCTGTTTACTAAGATCAATCTATAGTGACACCTCAAACATTACATTATTTTTTGAATTTTAGCTTCTTTGGGTATCAGATAAAGGGAAGAAAGAAATTAAAACTTTAAACAAATCAATACTTCCCTTTTGTGGACCCAGCCTGTTAGTGAAAAAGGCTATCCAGAGACTACATCTGAAATTCAGTGGTCCTAATTTCATTCAGTGGGCCCTTCTCCAGCTGTTTCTAATTCTTAGGGGTTTTTATATAAAATGTAACTCCTATGTTCATGACCACTACAAGGAGTCTTCTGGGCACATCTTGTCTATACTCAAATAGGCTGTAGAAAGATATCAAACTGGTAACCAAAGAAAGACACTAAGACTATTTGGAGTAAAAAGTATTTTTATCAAATAAAGATTCAACTTAAAGTCTAGAGCTCATGCTGCTGGAAAAGACTGTGAAACAACCTCAACGAGGAAACAGATTGGAAACAAAATGATGAGCCCTTCACAGAAAAGATGCACAGCTATTCTCATTCTTGGCAGAGGGATGGGAAGAGGACTACGCTATAAATATGACAGATGGGAATCCCAGGGAGCCCCAGCCAGGGGATGAGTTTTCACTCACCCACAAACTCTCCTATAGATCTTCACTTAATGCTTGGGTGTAATTCACCAAAGGTCTTGGGGCAAGGCAGGGGTGCTGGGGGATCCCTTTGAAGCATTCAGGGCCTCTTGCAACTATCTACACTAATAAAAGAGAAACATGGTAATTGGCGTACGACCGCTACCCTTCCCATTGGCTAATCACGGGCAATATGCAAATTAGCTGTCAGCAAAGATGGCGGTTAACCGCCAACCAAGATGGCGGCTAATTTGCATATTGCCGGCAGGATGGGGCAGCGCCATCGTGCCTGCCCCTCTGCCATCCAGGCCTGCTATCTGTGACCTGGATGGCGGGTGACCCAACCCAGGGCTGGCGGGGCGTGACCGCAGCTGTCCCCTACTGGCCAAGACCCCAACCGGCTCTCCCACCAGCAGACCGGGGCTGGCCTGGCGGCTTTGGCTTCCGCCCACAGTCACGCCCCCCAGACCCGCTGCTGCCAGCAGACCAAGGCTGGGGAGGCAGAGGACCCCAACCCGCTCCCCCGGCAGACTAGGGCTGGGGAGGCGGCTGCTGCAATCGCCCGCACTCACGCCCCAACCCGCCTGATCACCCCCGACCCACTCCTGCTTGCAGACCGGGGCTGGCGGATTGCCCTGGACCCGCATTCCCCTGTGTGCACCTGCCCGTGGGATCACAGCCACGATCACAAGCAGGAAAGGGCGGTCTGCAGCCAGCCCCTGTGTGCGCCTGCCCGTGGGATCGCAGCCACGATCACGGAGCAGGATAGGGCGGCCTGCAGCCAGCCCCTGTGTGCGCCTGCCCGTGGGATGCAGCAGCAATCACGGAGCAGGATAGGGTGGCCTGCAGCCAGCCCCTGTGTGCACCTGCCCGTGGGATGCAGCCGCGATCACGGAGCAGGAAAGGGCGGTCTGCAGCCAGCCCCTGTGTGCGCCTGCCCTTGGGATCACAGCCGCGATCAGGAGCAGGATAGGGCGGCCTGCAGCCAGCCCCTGTGTGCACCTGCCCGTGGGATCGCAGCCGCGATCACTGAGCAGGAAAGGGCAGTCTGCAGCCAGCCCCTGTGTGCACCTGCCCGTGGGATGCAGCAGCGATCACGGAGCAGGAAAGGGCGGCCTGCAGCCAGCCCCCCTGTGTGCCTTTCCCTAGGTAGCCCTGGGGATCCCACAGTAGGGAAGGGCGCCCCACCCTGGCCACAGCTCAGGGGAGAGTACAACAAGCAGTGGAGGCCAGGAGCCTGAATGATCAACAGAGAGGGGCGCCTGCTTGAAGCCTTCAGGGTGTGGCTGGTGGTAGGCCTCCAGCAGACGCGCGCGCGCGCGCACACACACACACACACACACACACACACACACAGACACACAGTGCCTACTCTGAGCTTCCAATGTGGTTGGGAGCAGACCACCAGTGGACACACACACCCGGCAACTGCTCGGAGCCTATGTGGCGGGGCTGGGGGCAGGCCCCCAGCAGACACACACACACACACACACACACACACACACACACACACGGGGACGGCTGCACCGAGCCTCTGCTGCCAGACTGTGGCCATCAGTAGGACATCCACTGAGGGCTCCCAGACTGAGGGGCAGGCTTGGCTGAGGGAACCCCACCCCCCAGTGCACGAATTTCGTGCACCGGGCCTCTAGTCTATATATATAAAAGCCTAAGACCGGCCCAGACCGCCTGGTAGCTATTACGCACAATGACCACCAGGGGGCAGACACTCAACGCAGGAGTTGCCAAGCTGTGGTGACTTGGCAGCTGTGGTTCTCGGGTGACGCACCTGGAGCTAGAGAGGAGGGAGCCCGATTCCGGGGTGCGTCACCTGAGAATCACCCTCTCTCAATCCAGGACCCCTTGGGGGTATCAGAGAGCCAGTTTTGGCCCGATCCCTGCAGGCCAGGCTGAAGGACCCTAGTAACACATAACCCTCTGAAGACAGGCAGGGGGCAGGCAGCAAGGCAGCAAAGTTGAGAGAAATCATTTGCATTCTGGATTCTCAGGTTCATAGGCTGGGAGTGGGATAAGGGAGCGGAGAGAAACTTCCCCTCTGAGACAGGTTTGGTCTTTACCCAAATGGTAAAGCAGTCCCCTGCCAAGAGGGGGAGAGGGAAGCAGGAGAGAAAGATAGGTCCGCCAAGGCACACAAATCCAGGGGCAGATGAGAGAGGAAAGATATCCCTCGGTGATTAAAAAAAAAAAGCTGACAGCTAGGCTATAAAGCAGAGACAGCGCTCTCATGGTTTGGAATGCTGGTGGCTCAGTTGTAAAGTATGAAGAGATCTCTGGAGTCTTGTCAGTGTTAAGATACGAAGCATGGCTAACAAGAAAATAACCATGATAAAAATGCTGAACTAGTCGGAAAGAGACAACATGAGTGCAGAG